AGAGGGCAAGTGAGGAGGAGGAGAAACTGTGGGGGCGAAAAAAAGGGAGGCGACGGCTGAAGCTGCAGACACACGGGCAGCAGGAGTGTGCCGCACTGTCGCTACCAGGCTAAACCCGGACTACACGGCGACAGACGCAGCTGGCTCGCTGTGCTCCCAGGAGTGCTCACACTGTGGCTACCAGGCGCAGAGCCTCAGACTACACGGCCACAGGGGGTCGTGGCTCTCTGGACTACCAGGAGTGCTCACACTGTGGCTACCAGGCTATACCCGGACTACTCAGGCCACAGACGCAGCTGGCTCTCTGGACTACAGGCGCTGCGGACGACAAGACGGCTGCCTCCACTCAACTTCCCCCAGCTGTCCCACACCCCTTTCACACACTCCCTGTTGAACCTCTAGCACCGCTCACACGCCACCCCCCTCGTACCACTCCGACGGCTCCAACACATCCACCCCCCTCAGCGGTAGCTGCAGCAGTGGGAGACGGAGGAGGAGGAGGAACAGGGAACGGCTCACACACACGGCACCCCCATACTCTCCACCCCCATACTCTCCAACCCCAAACCCTAACACAGGAGCGCGGGCAGCAGCAGGGGTGGGGCGCGGTCAGAAGCTCGGGGGACGGCGTGCGGCACTGGGGCGGACAGTACGGGCCGCGCACGGGCCTGGCGCAGGCCGGACGAACCGCGCGCGGGCTGCCCGAGCCGCGCGCGGGCCTGGCGCAGCCCGTACGGGCCGCACGCGACTGTACGGGCCGCGCACGGGCCTGGCGCAGGCCGTACGGGCCGCGCGCGGGCCTGGCGCAGGTCGCGCGGGCCGCGTCGGGCGACGGGGGGCGATGCACGGGTCTTCGGGGGCGCCTCGACGGGTGACGGGGGGCGACGCGCGGTTCGACGGATCAGGAAACCGTCGCGCGCCCCGAGCGCGCGACAGGAAGAAAAAACGTCGCGCGCCCTGAGCGCACGGCACGCAGCAAACATCGCGTACGCAGAGCGTGCGATAGGCAGAACAGCAGCGGAAGCATCGGGTGGGCCCACCCACAGGATCGACCCAGGAGGGTCGACCTGCTCTGATAGCATGTCAACAGAAAGTACAGGCAAGAATCAGAAACAGCAAAGAGGAGTTTTCACTAGCAGGCAGTTGAGTACATATAGCAAACCCTAATCTGGGCTGTACTCGCTATAGAGTACCCCACTGCAGGCTAGACAAACATCACATTCTGACAGCTGAGATCTACGCCACAGCCATGGCTGCACAGGAGTTACGCTGGCTCACCTACCTACTGACCGACTTGGGAGAGAGGCCTCGTTCTCCTCCAGTTCTATACGTCGACAACAAGGTCGCCATTCCCTTATGTCAGGAGCACAGACTGGAGCACAGAACGAAGCATATCGCTCTGCGTTACTTCCTGGCTCGAGAGTTGCAGCAGCGTGGTCAGCTTCGTCTTGCTCACGTGGCCACTCGGGCCAACACTGCTGATATATTCACCAAGGCACTTCCGTCTGGTGATCATCAGCGTTTTTGTACTTTGTTAGGCCTTGTGCCTACGTTTCCGCACTTGCTGTAGACTTTGCTTGTACTGTGATCTATATATATACCTGCATGCTTGCTATTGCTAGGTAGTGATTACTGTGCTGTTATTGTTGCATGTATACCTCTCCATGTGAACTGGCCTTGTGGCCCTTTGCTTGTGCTTAGAGTGTGTGGTGATGTTGTGATCCACCCTGAGCTTGCTTTGCTCTTCTTGACTGGTCTTGTGACCCCTTGCTCTCCCCCACTTTGCCTATGGGGGTGTGTCAAATTATATATGCATTCTATATATGTAGGTGTCAGAATGTTATTATTATCTAGCCTGTAGTGGGGTGCTCTATAGCGAGTACAACCCAGTTAGGGTTTGCTATATGTACCCCAACTGCTGCTAGTGAAACCCCTCTCTCCTTTCAATCATTCTTGCCTAGTTCTTCTAACATGGTATCAGAGCAGGTCGACCCTCCTGGGTCGATCCTGTGGGTGGGCCCACCACCTAAGCCTTCCGCTGCTACTGCTACTGCTACTGCTACTCCCTGTCCGCCGCGCGCCCCGTGGCGCGCGGCGTCGAAACTAGGGTTTTCAGCCCGCCGTGCGCCCCGAGGCACGCGGCGGTTTTCTGCCCGCCGTGCGCCCCGAGGCGCGCGGCGGTTCTCTGCCCGCCGTGTGCCCCGAGGCGCGCGGCGGGTTCCTGCCCCGTCACTCGGCACGTCGCCCCCGGGAGGCGCTGCGACGGGCGACGGGGACCCGCGCGTCGCCCCCCGTCGCCCGTCGTGGCCTGCGCGCGGCCCGTACACCCGGCACGCGGCCCGTACGGGCTGCGCCAGGCCCGCGCGCGGCCCGTACGGGCTGCGCCAGGCCCGCGCGCGGCCCGTACGGGCTGCGCCAGGCACGCGCGCGGCCCGTACGGGAAGCGCCAGGCCCGCGCGCGGCTCGGGCCGCCTGCGCGCGGTTCGGGCGGCTCTACCAGGCCCGTGGGCGGCCCGTTCCTCGCTGCTCCTGCCCTCTCCACTGTCCCCCGTGCTTCTACCGGCGCCTCACCCCTCCTACAGCCCGTTCTCCTAAATTAGGGTTTGGGGGTGAAGAGTGTGGGGGTGGCGGCTATGGGGGTGTCGGTTGTGAGTTCCTCCCCCTGCTCCTCCTCCTCCCTCGTCTCCCTCTGCTACAGCTGCCGCTGAGGGGGGTGGTGTGTGGGAGCCTAGGGTTTGGGGTTTAAGGGGGGTACCGTCGGAGTGGAGCTAGGGTGTCAGCAGGGGGTGTGTGAGAGGGGCGTGGGACGGTCGGGGGAGATTGCGTGGAGGTAGCCGTCGTGACGCCAGCAGCGCCAGTAGTCCGGATGCCCTCGCGCGTTTCGGTAGCCCAGCGAGCCTGCTTCGCCAGTCGCCTGTGGGTCCGTTGCTCCTGTGTGTGCTCGTCGTAGCCGCGGAGCCAGATACTCCCGTAGTCCGGTGCCCTCGTGCGCTCGGTAGCCACTGTGCGCGCCGCTCCTGTTGCCCGTGTGTCTGCAGCTTCAGTCGGCGCCTTTCATCTTCTCTCCTCTCGCCAGCCCTCCTCCTCCTCGCTTGCCCTCTGTGACTGCCTCTAGCTTTGCTCATAACTGTGAACTTTAAACTATTGCTTCTTGAACTTGTGCTCAGAATGTGTGGTGACATTGTGATCCACCCTGAGCTTGTACTGCTTTGCTTGCTCTGCTGATTACACCCCACTTTGGCTATGGGGGTGTGTCAGAATGTTATTATTATCTAGCCTGTAGTGGGGTGCTCTATAGCGAGTACAACCCAGTTAGGGTTTGCTATATGTACCCCAACTGCTGCTAGTGAAACCCCTCTCTCCTTTCAATCATTCTTCTAACAGTAGGCTGTAGTGGGCTAGCTGATATGGGGTATAGCCCCTTTAGGGTTTCATACTTGTACCCAACTTTCATCTAGTTCATTCATTCCTGCCTATAGTTTCTGACACAACCCAAAGTTAGGGTTAGTACTTGTACCCAACAAGAAGCAAGGCAAGGCACGCACACATTCCCACACAGGCAAGGCTGTTAAACAGGCTAGGCGAAAACGAGAAATAGGCAAAGAGGATTTTGACTAACAAGCATAGGGATACATATAGCAAACCCTAGAAGGGCTGTACTCGCTATAGAGTACCCCACTGCAAGCTAGACAAATATAACATTCTGACACACCCCCATAGTCAAAGTGGGGTACAATCAACACAGCAAGCAGGCAGAGCAGTAGGTTCACAAATACAAGCAAAGCTAGAGGCTATCACAGAGAGCAAGTGAGGAGGAGGAGAAACTGCGGGGGCGAGAAGATGGGAGGCGACGGCTGAAGCTGCAGACACACGGGCAACAGGAGTGCGCAGCACTGTCGCTACCAGGCTAAACCCGGACTACACGGCGACAGACGCAGCTGGCTCGCTGTGCTCCCAGGAGTGCACACACTGTGGCTACCGGGCGCAGAGCCCCGGACTACACGGCCACAGGGGGTCGTGGCTCTCTGGACTACCAGGAGTGCTCACACTGTGGCTACCGGGCGCAGAGCCCCGGACTACACGGCCACAGGGGGTCGTGGCTCTCTGGACTTCAGGCGCTGCGGACGACAAGTCGACGGCCTCCACTCAGCTTCCCCCAGCTGTCCCACCCCCTTTTCACACACCCCCTGCTGTACCCCTAGCACTGCTCACACTACACCCCCTATTGCCACTCCCTCGGCTCCCACACACCCACCCCCCTAAGCGGTAGCTGCAACAGTGGGAGACGGAGAAGTAGGAGGAGGAGGGGACGGCGCACGCACCCGGCACCCCATACCCGCCACCCCCACACGCGCCACCCCCAAACCCTAATCGTAGGCAGGAGCGGGGGATGGCGCGCGGGCAGCACCTCGGAAGACGGCGCGCGCGGGCAGCAGCACGGGGGGACGCGCGCGCGGCTCCCCAGGGCGTCGCGACGGGCAGCGGGGGCCGCGCGCGGTTCCCAGGGCGTCGCGACGGGCAGTGGGGGCCGCGCGCGGCTCCCCAGGGCGTCGCGACGGGCAGCGGGGGCCGCGCGCGGCTCCCCAGGGCGTCGTGACGGGCAGCAGGGGCCGCGCGACCGTTGTTAGGGGGCGACGCGCGGGTCGACGGGGCAGAAAACCGCCGCGCGCCCCGAGCGCGCGGCGGGAAGAAAAAACGCCGCGCGCCCGGAGAGCGCGGCAGGCAGGAAACAGCAGCGGAAGCGTCTGGTGGGACCACCCACAGGATCGACCCAGGAGGGTCGACCCGCTCTGATAGCATGTTAAACAGGCTAGGCGAAAACGAGAAATAGGCAAAGAGGATTTTGACTAACAAGCATAGGGATACATATAGCAAACCCTAGAAGGGCTGTACTCACTGTAGAGTACCCCACTGCAGGCTAGACAACCATCACATTCTGACAAAGGCAAGGCAAGGCAGGGTTAGGGTTAGTTCTTGTTGGGTTAATTCCCACTTTTCATTCAATACACACATTCCTGCTCGTTGATTCTGACAGGAAGCAAGGCAGAGGTGGGGGGAACGAGGGAAGGGGATGGGGGGAAGCAGGGAAGGGGATGGGGGGAAGCAGGGCGGAGGGTGGGGGGAAGCAGGGAAGGGGAAGGGGGGAAGCAGGGAAGGGGATGGGGGGAAGCAGGGAAGGGGATGGGGAGTAGCAGGGAACGGGATGGGGGGAAGCAGGGAAGGGGATGGGGGGAAGCAGGGAAGGGGATGGGGGGAAGCAGGGAAGGGGATGGGGAGTAGCAGGGAACAGGATGGGGGGAAGCAGGGAAGGGGATGGGGGGAAGCAGGGAAGCAAGGGCGAGGACGGGAAGCGCGGGCGACAAGCAGAGGCGAGGGCGACGAGTGTCGGCGAGGGTGATGAGGGAAAGCGCGGGCGACGAGGAAAGCAGTATGACGTGGGAAAGAGCGGCCGACGAGGGGGAACATATGCGACTAACGGCAGCGTGCGTCACGCGAACCTGTACGGCATTCGTGTGAGCGACCCGTGCCTAAAACGGTACGATCGTGACACGAGGCTGAACCGCAGCAAGTGCGACAAGAGCAGGCGTGTGCGACGTGAGCTTGAATGCAAGGCGTGAGTAACGCGAAGATCGTTCACTAACGTAAGTGCCGCGGGTGAACGGGTTGTAACACGATGGCGGCGACGTGGGGGGAGATCTGAGCGTGCATGCCTAAGATGGTCGAGGTGGATGTACCTAAATTTCTTACCGCTAAAAAAATAAACCCTATCGACGACTCGCTGTTGCCAACTTGCGCTAGTTTTTGCCTTGGAACCTCCTAGTTTACGAATACTACTACCGGTACCTGGTGTCCAAGTTATGAGATTGGTGAACAGTGCACATGGTTGGCGATCATCGCGTCAGTTCTGTTTTTGGGTGCTCAGGTTCCGTTGTCGCAGGACGGTTGCCTGGGGTCGTGAGAGTTTATTCAAAACTAGCATGGTAACCCTGTTTTTGGCGATTTCAAGTTCAAGAATCTTGAACTTGAAAATGACCATGCTGTACTCAGGCTTTAAATAAATACGAAGTCTAGTGAAAACCATGTTGGTTCTACAGCCAAATAAATAGAGACTCCCAGCAAGGGTTCCCAGTGTGTGAATCACCCCCTCCCTGATGGCTGTCTGGTGCTCGTCCATTCTGCTGGTGCTGCTGCTGGCTGGGCGGCACCACCAGCCTGTCCCTTGTCTCAGCTGTTTCCTGCTGCCACGTCACACTTTGAGCTACAGCATCAAGGGCAGGCGGGGAGGTGGAGAGCAGGGCAGCGAGGTCGAGGGACTCGGCGGGGCCGCCAGTGCGCTGCGCCACGATGAGCTGGTTGCCGTGCACCACCGCCCTGCATGCTCCACTGGCGTGCTGCCGTGCATTGGAGAGCGGGAGGGGGCGGGGAGGATGCGGAGTGAGTTGGTCAACGATGTGGGCAGTGGAGAGGCATGGAGGCGAACGAGCGAGGCGGAGAGGAAGCAATGGAGCTGGAGTGATGTTCCAGGCAGGGACCATCCACCACGTACAGGTAATACTTCACATGCAACCGCCATAGCTTACAATGGCCGCCCACCATTGGTGCGCTGCACTCACACAGCAGTCCGGGCAGCCACAACAACCATACAATACCTGTACGATGCACAGCGGCTCTTACTGTGAGCGGTGGCAGGGTAGTCCACGTGTTGCTGCTGACGTGGTACAGCTCGGCATCAAATAACGCCTCCCCATTGGATGCATAGCCACCAGCTACCGCCACGTAGGTCTGGAGTGACAAGGTGAGAGTCGGGTGACACACGTGAGAGGCATTCGTAAGCGCGGCAGAGAGAACCTGAAGCACTGACTTTGACGCTCATCTGTGAAAGGGCTGACGTCAGCAACGCACAAGCCTGTTACCTGACGAGAGGAGGGGTGGGTCCACGCGGCGATGCCAAACGCGAATCGGGCGGTGAGCATGGGCGCGAGCGCGCGCCACGAGTCGGTGAGCGCGTTGTATGCGTGGGCGAGCGCGTAGGCGCGCACCACCTCGCGGCAGAACACGGGGAACGGCGAGCGCCCGCCCACCACCAGCAGCTCCGGCTCGTGCGGAATGCCTGCTCGATGGATCATGTGAAGGGGAGGGTGAGGCGTGCGGGTGGAGGGATGCGGAGGGCGTGTGCCTCCAGGCGCATGCAATGATGAGATGTGCGCGCGTGAATGCTGCAGCAGTAAGAGCGGACCACCACGGGTAAGTGCGCCGGAATAGAACAAGAACCATGCTTGTACGGAAGCAGGGAAGGGAAAGGAAGGAAACATGAGGAGATGACTCGCTAAAGGAGAGCGGGTGGGTTGGAGCGAGCGAGACGGTGGGAGGCGGCGGGAGGGCGGAGGCACTGACCGACGGCGCCGTACTGCATGCGGAGAGGCCCCGCCAGGGGCGTCACGCGCACGTTGCTCGCGTCGTCGCTCGTGCGGCACCTGCCGCAAGATGCAGTGGCGTCCGCATGATGGGCGCAGGCGCTCATGTCGATTTGGTTCATGTCGTTGCTGCTGCTGCTCCGCTGCCGCGCCAGTCTGGGGGTTTGGAATAGCAACGGCGCCACGAAAAAGTGTTGAAATTAGCAAGCCAATGTGGGCGGCGCGAGAGTCGCAACAACGAGCTACCGCGTCGGATGAGGCACGGCGGCGGTAAGCAGTCAAGAGACAGGCTGCCGGGGGCTCTCACCCGCGAGGCGGCTGCGCGCGCGAGAAATGGCGGCGCGCTTTGCCAGCGAGCCCCTGGAAGGCGGCGTCGCGGTACTCGTTCTCGAGGTCCACACGCCACAGCTCCGCCAGCCCCTCCGCACGGCGGATCTGCGCCGGGAGAGAGGCGGTTTGGGAGGAAGGGGGGAGCGTGCGTGGGGCCAATGCTGGCGGGGAGGTGCGATGCACGGGAATGGATCAGACGCGCCTATCATTGCCCGCAAGTTCGAACAAGTTCCCGCAGCGGTAACTTTTTCGCATCGACCAACGGTGCCACATGTCAGAGTTGGCAAGTCGCCGGGTTAAAGAAGAAACAAGCAATATGACCCATGAGAGCGCTCGTTTCGCGAACAGTCGTCGACTCCGACGGTCAGTGACAAGCGGGGCGACGAGCTCACCTGGTGCAGCGCGAGCGGGTCCGCGAGGCGGCGCCACGCGGCGCATACGGTGTGGAGCGAACGGTAGAGCGGGAAGGGCACGGCGGCGAGGCAGCGCAGTAAAATGTGGTCAGGCAGCGTCGCAGGCGGGGTGCTGTCGCTGCCGGGCATAGCGACGCACGCGGCGTCGTCAGGTGAACGAGAATTGGCTGCTGCTCCTACTGTGAGGCACTCCGTGTGGGGCGACATGGCTAGAGCTTAGAAATTGCTGCTGGAAATGAGGATAGGCGAAACAAATGACGGTGGGAGTATGTGAAAGTGGGGCTAAGATTAGTCGTGATCGCTGCGATGGCTCGAGAAAGGGAGCGCTGGCATCCATGTCTGCTGACGGGGGCAACGGAGGTCGAAGAGGTTGGTTCGATTATGATGCTGATGTGATGTGATAGGTGTGGCTGGCGGTGGGAGGTTGATGTGTGCCCGCTGGTACCTCTCTCGTCTCTTCACCCTTTCCGTTCACCGCGAGCCAGCTCGCATCCGTCGCAACAAGCTGACAGAATCTACAGTCTGCACCCAAAACAGTCTGCAAAGATCGTGAGCGAATCGCCACCCTGCTGCCACTGCAAAAGACCCACAAATCTTTGATTTCATCCCTCAAGCCCGTTTTCACTCGACGATCACCAAAATCAACGGCATGTGCTCGTTTTGGCGACGTCGCCGATGCGATACCGTGGAACCGCAGAAAATCAGCCAGATCGACTGCTGGTGGCGAAAATGGAGACCTCGTTGATGCGATGCGACGGAGTAGGGCGATGAAATTTGCTTCGTCGTTGCGCTGATTGGCCTCTGCAGCACCAAGAAATTCCATCTCCAATTCAATTCAAACCCGTTGTAGCGCAACTCACAAGAGCCGAAGGGATCAGCTGGGAAAATGTGACATGCAATCTGCCCGTTGCTCAAATCAAACCCTAGATTCTCCCCAAAGCTGTCTTCTACAGTCCTTCGAGAATCATACAGATCCAGCATTCTCCCAGCCCTTTCTGATTTCTTAGGGCGTGTCTCTTTTTCCCCCTGGACGGTTCGAACCGTGGACGGTCCGAGCTGCGAAAAGCTTACCTGTTTCGCACAAATTCGTGATGACTTTCGTAACAGTATTTGCGACGTCGCCAACGGCGCGAACTGTCGCGTCACTTCTTCTTCTTCAAAACGGCTCAGATTTTGAACCTTCCGCAGCTCGAAAAGCAAATTGACGGTGCAACAGTACTGACTAGAGATTGGCGCGCGAGATATTTTTACAATACGAAATCCGATTGGCGCACGAATCTTGCAGAGAATATGTCGTGACTTGTGTAACGACGCTACATTGCCCATAACGAAGCTACAGCACTTCGTGAAATTAAGGGTTCAGAAAAAAAGTGACAGCATCGCATCTGGACTGGGCAAAGTTCCGAAATGGCAATTCGGACAGTCTGGTCCTCGCTATTAGGACCGTCCGGTACCAAAAATAGAACCGTCCGGGAAAATGCTAAAAAACAAAAAAGAGACACGCCCTTACCATGGCCAAACTACCTTTTCTAAGGAATTACATTGACATTTTAGTGCACAATTGTAGTACTACTAGCTGATTCTATCAGGCACCCTTCCTGATACCCAATTTGGAGGCATAGGACTAGCTAACCTCAACAGTGCACTCATTATTTGGTGGTGATGCACGGGAAACACGGACTTATGAAATGGCAGTCAGATGAGAATTTATTTTCAGAAGTGTCTTACAGTATGTGAGTATTGACAAGGCAATGTATGCACAATCTAAGCCATCAAAAGTGATCCACCAGGCTTGGCTCTTCCCATCCCATCCCACATAGAGCGGCTGCAAATCTGTGCGTTCTTGCTGGTTCTAACGAGCAACTGAACAGAAGCTCTCCATCTTGCCAGCATTCCCTCCACACACACTTCACCGCAAGATGTGGAGCATGACTTGCATGTGTGCTGCTCACCCACCCTGGGAGTAATGCCCCCAGCAGCCAGCAGCCAGCAGCCTAGGGGCCGTCGATCTTGTCAAAGGACTGCAGCTCTCGGAAGCCCTCCCATGGCTTCTCCCACACCACCGCCTCATACTGCGCACTGGCAGGCGCGGTGGCGGAGGGCAGGAGCGCAGTGAGGCGGATGCGGTGCAGCGTGCCGGCCACCACCTGCTCACTCGCCCCCTCCACCGCCTGCAGCCTCAGTGCCGTGTTCTGCCATGCGTGGGCCACCGGTGGGTGGGGGGTGGAAGGGGGGGAGGGTGTGGCGATGGGATGGTGGACACGCGACACATGATGGCAGTCAGAAGGGCAAACGAATCTTGATTCACACAAAACTGTAATGACAGAAATGAGCACGACAGTTGGGGTGGGAAGAAAGGCAACAGCACTAGTGCAGTGCAAGATGGGTGCATACGCGGGTGAATTGGCTTGCACTCACCTGCTCCCATCAACCCACCAGCCCCCCTCCTCCCTCCTTTCCCCCCACACCCCCCCCAGCCCACCCGCACGTGCCCCTCTCCCATCCGCACCTGTTTCTTGTTCTGCTCGTCCACTGCCCACTGCGCCAACTGCTGCACGGCCGCACTGTTGGCCGCCCCCTCCACCACCTTGGCGCCCCCCACCATCGCCATGCGGACGTGCGGCAGCTGCTGTCAAGAGCTGCAGGGGGAAGGGCGCGGAGAGGGAAAGGCACATGCGCAACAGGAAGGGCACATAGCACGGGTCTTTGCTGGTGCGTATGTGGCCGCAGATACTGGGTAGGCGGGCTGAGAGACAAGAAACGGTCCATGCATGGGTGGTGTGCTGTGCAGCAGGCGAGGTGCGCTAAGCACACGCGACCCCCCCTGCCCTGCCTCATTTTGTGTCGATTTCCCTGTCCCCCCTACACCCCATCTGCCCCTCTCCCCCCCGCCTATGATCAATCACTTGGTTGTCGCAACATCCCTGTGCCCACAACAACACCCACCTCCCAATGTCCTCACAGTGCTTCCCTCTATCCTCACAGTGCTTCCCTCTATCCTCACAGTGCTTCCCTCTATCCTCACAGGGCTTCCCTCTATCCTCACAGTGCTTCCCTCTATCCTCACAGTGCTTCCCTCTATCCTCACAATGCTTCCCTCTATCCTCACAGTGCTTCCCTCTATCCTCACAGTGCTTCCCTCTATCCTCACAGGGCTTCCCTCTATCCTCACAGGGCTTCCCTCTATCCTCACAGTGCTTCCCTCTATCCTCACAGTGCTCCCCTCTATCCTCACAGTGCTTCCCTCTATCCTCACAGTGCTTCCCTCTATCCTCACAGTGCTTCCCTCTATCCTCACAGTGCTTCTCACAGTGCTGACATCCCGGCACTCCTCTAAGCACCAACCAATCCCGTCCTGCCTTCCCCCAACCCAAGCGCCCCATTCCTCACTTGCCCCACCACCTCACATCTAACCCCTTCCTTACGCTCCCTTGCTCCCCCGCTCCCTCGCTCTCTCCCTCCCTCTTTCGCTCCCTCCCTCACTCCCTCCTCGCTCCCTTCCTCGCTCCCTCTCTCGCTCCCTCCCTCGCTCCCTTACTCGCTCTCTCCCTCCCTCCCTCCCTCCCTCCCTCCCTCCCTCCCTCCCTCCCTCCCTCCCTCCCTCCTCGCTCCCTCTCTCGCTCCCTCCCACGCTCCCTTACTCGCTCCCTCCCTTCCTCTCTCCCTCCCTCCCTCTCTCGCTCCCTCCCTCTCTACCTCCCTCGCTCGCTCCCTCGCTCGCTCCCTCCCTCGCTCCCTCGCTCCCTCCCTCCCTCCCTCCCTCCCTCCCTCCCTCCCACCCTCGCTCCCTCCCTACCTCGATCGCTCCCGCCCTCGATCGCTCCCTCCCTCGATCGCTCCCTCCCTCCCTCGATCGCTCCCTCCCTCCCTCGCTCCCTCCCTCCCTCCCTCACTCACTCAGAGCCGTGTGACGTGTATTAGCACGCGCCGTTGCCGGAGAGGGAAAAACGAGCGCGCGGAACGCCTGGAGGGAAATAGTGGGGGGTGTGACGGAGTGAGGCGGCAGCGAGTGAGGCGGCAGCGCGCCGGGACCGCGCCTGGCGCCAGAAAGCGTGGCTGCACCATGCAGGTGAACTCGCCCTACGCGACAACGCTCTGCGCGTCAACTCCCAAGATGCAGCGGCGAATTAGGCGTGAGCGCGCCACTGTAGCGCGCGCGTGGTGCGGCGCTGGTGACTGCGAGCGCGTTTGGCACTTGCGGCAGGCTAAGTATCAGACCTTACCTTTGTGTGAGTCGAGATTGGGCCCAATAATGAAATCCTCCTTGTTAGAGTAAGGGATGAGGTTGGCCTGGCAGTCGGATTATACGAGGGCTGAGGCAGAAGAATCAAAACCTAGCTGGTTTTGATTACGTGAGATAATGCTCCTCACCTTTTCGAAGGTGCAGGGCGGATTCCGGATCCCCCGCCCATCCCTTAGATGGCCCACCAAAGACGTGGCGAACAGGGCCATTGTAAGGAAAATTCCTTTTCCTTGGGCGCGCGTGATCTTTTTTCGAACTTCCCAAAGTTCTAGCTTTTAGAAGGGTTCTACACGGTAGGATACAATTGCGAGATTTTTCGCCACGGTGCAAAGCGGTTTGAGTTCGAACTTTGACAAAATTCCGAAGATCACACACGCCCTTACTCAGCGTCCCTCCTTAGCGCGTACACCACTATGCCCGCCAACTGTTGTCAACAATGCACCGTTACAGCCACTCGCGACACTCGCCTCGAGCACTGTTCCGGACGCGACCCAACCTTACGATCGGTTGGTAACCCGCGCTCCGGACCTTCGCCTCGACATTTCATAACCTCGGCACTAGGCCCGTTGCGCACCCCAAATTCTCGCGTTACCGTTACCACGCTAGCTTCGCTATATAATCCTCGCTCATTCCTTTCGCCCGATATACTGTTTTGCTTTGTTAGTGCAATTCTTGCTCGCTTGGTATCCAGAGCCTACGATCTCTTCTCGGACCGTGCCCACACCTTCGCTTCCCCACTATCTCAATTTTTGGAGGGGGTAGACGTCTCTCAGCGACCAAGCACCGCTGCTTGTGTGCTCGCTCGTAAGCACACTCGGCCACGACCGAGGCTCGCGCTGAGCTCGCTTGACACCCCCGCCATGGCTGAAATCAATCTCGCGACGTTGACGCAAGAGCGCCTAGACGAACTTTTACGCCAACTCGAGGAATCAACGCTCGACATTGCGATGCTCACGGCGGAACGCGACTCCGCTCGACGGCAATCAACAGCAAATGCACGAGCACCCGCGAACGCACCTGCGCAATCGGATGTGCCGATTGTCATCTCATGAGGCACACCATCACAACACGGCAGCGTGGGACAGCACTCAGGAGCAATCAGTGATGGCGCCGCCCAATCGATGCCAGACATGGAGAGAACCAGCACCGCACCGTGCATAAACGTGACTCGCAAATCTCATTGTCACGTCGGATTCAATGCATTCGTCGGCAACGACGACATCAACGAGCCAATGCCGCTCAAACCGCACTACCCGCCCTACTTCGATCCTAGCCAACGCGGAGGTCTGACGGTTCAATTGTGGGTCTTCACAATGAACATGTTTCCTGACGCTAACTATGTCATGTCGGGCGCAGCGAAGATATGGTACGTAGTTTCGCTGCTGCGGGGCCCCGCCATGGACTGGTGGCGAGTCATCGTCATGTCGCCGCGCACCTATGAGCCGCCGTCACAAGAGGAAGGGCCCATGGGGCCAGCCGTCACCTGAAGTTTGTTTTGCGAAACCACCCAATACAGCACGTGGGATGTGTGGTGCGTAGGGCTTCGGACGCGCTTCGAGCCGACCGCAACTTCGATTTCGGCACGCCAGAAGCTGCGTACTTGGCGGCAGCTCGGATCGGTTCAAGACTACACCAGCGGTTTTCTCGCGCTGTGCGAGCAGGTTGGCTACATGCACGAAGCGGAGCGAGTGGATCGCTACGTCGGCGACCTGAAGCCGGAAATCTCGCAAGAAATTCTTCTTCGCGGGATCTCTAACTTCAACGAAATCCTCGCGCTAGCAGCGAAAATCAACATTTTGCGCCGCCCGAGATCGGGGTCCTACTACGGACATCGCCCTCGGGGACCGATCGAGCACGCCACCGTACACGTCGTCGTAGCGAGCGCAGCTGCCGCACCATTTAAATGGCGCTGCTTTGCGTGCAATAGGCCGAGACATCGCAAGAACGAATGCCCATAGGAGCTAAGGCGCCGTGGAGCAGAGCAGGGGAGGGAGTTTGGGAGGCAGGGAAACGCCAACAGTGAGCAGAGTACGGGCCCAGTACTGACGAGACTCACTACTCGCCCGACCCCACTGACCCTCACCGAGTCACAGTACTGATTCACGCAATCAACCAAGCTCGGCGGAAAAAGGGGGGTACAACGACGGATTGCCCAATACTTATTCAGGGGAAAATACGGGTGGTAGCAGTGAAGATTTTTATTGACGGAGGAGCAAGTCACAGTTTAGTTAATACCGCGACGGCATGAAAGCTGCAACTGACACTTAGCCACTGTTTACCAAAGATTGACGCACGCTTAGTTGACGGCACGCCACTGGCTATACGGGAGAAGGTGGAGAGAGTGAAGGTTCACGGCACTAGATGGGCACGGCATTTTACTAGGACGTGATTGGCTGCGACGCTACAACCCGCGAATTGACTGGACGACGGGTAGCTGCACTATGAGAAGCGGTGGTAACTAGGCCGAACTACCTCGCTGGCAGTCGCCTAAGTCTTCAGTGGTTCACGTCAACGCCATCACGATGACACGGGCTGTCGCAGGTGGCTGACGTGTACGCAGTGGACATCATGGTAGTAGGAGAAGCAGAGGAGCCGAGTGATTTTTAGAAACTGCTGACAACCGTACCGCCCGAACTACAGGAGCTACTGAAACCCGATGACTTACCGAAAGGACTGCCACCTTAGCGAGCACACGACCACCGCATAGAGTTTGAAGCTGGGGCACAACCAACCGTACAGCAACAGTTCAGACTGACGCAGCTCGAACTCGATGAACTGAGGAAGCACCTAGATTACATGTTGGAGAAAAAAATTATCCGACTAAATTCTTCACCGTTCGTAGCACCGATACTATTCACGCCGAAAAAAGGCGTAGGGTTTCGCATATGTATCGACTACCGCGCACTGGACATGGTAACAATCAAATCGCAATATCCCATTCCCCGTGCTGGTAGACTGATAGATCAACTGCGAACAACACGGGTATTTTCGAAAATCAAATGACGGGGAGGTTACCACCAGATTAGAGTCGAACCATCGAACTACGCCAAGACAGCTTTTAGAACTAGATATGGGTCGTACGAGTGCACAGTGACCATTCGGGCTAACCAACGCACCTGCAACGTTTCAGATGACCATGAACGAGGCGTTTAGGCCGTTTTAAAAAAAAGCGTGATAGTTTAACTCGACAACATCCTGGTCTATAGTCGTGACAAGCAATAACACTTAGCGGATTTGGAAGCAATGTTTAGAGTTTTAGACAAAAACCACCTACTGAGCAAGGGTTCGAAGTGTGAGTTTTTTCAGAATTGGCTAGAATTTTTGGGGCACGTTAATTCGGAGACTGAAGTTGATATCTGTCAGAACATTATAGCTGGTGCATGTTATCTAGGCTACAGTGGGGTAGCCCATAAGGGGTACAACCCAATTAGGGTTAGTACTTGTACTCTTTTCATTCATAGTTGCATCATTCACGTCCTAATTCTAAGATGGTATCGAGCAGGTTCCCTCGTGGGAACTGTTCCTAGGGCCCACCGTTCGATCTAAAACTTTTTTTTCTGTCGGAGCGCACCCCGCTACTCCCAGAGTCGCGCTCCCTTCTCTCGGCCCTTCGTGGCCCCGTCGCGTCGCCCTAGCGGCCCCGTCGCGCCGCCCTCCCGACTCCGTCGAGCCGCCCTCGCGGTCTCGTTGCGCCGCCCTCGCGGCCTCGTCGCGCCGCCCACGCGGCTTCGTCGCGCCGCCCTCGCGGCTTCGTCGCGCCGCCCTCGCGGCATCGGCGTCGCGCCTACCGGCCCCTGCAGCCGCCCTTGACGGCCCCGCCACCCACCTGAGCGGCCCCGCCACCTGCCTGTGCGGCCCCGCCACCTACCTTGCGGCCCCGCCACCTACCTTACGGCCCCGCCACCTACCTGGCGGCCCCGCCACCTACCTGTGCGGCCCCCCGCCACCTACCTGTGCGGCCCCCCCGCCACCTACCTGTGCGGCGCCCACCACCTACCTTGCGGCCCCCGCCACTTGCCTGACGGCCTCGCCGCCTACCCTCGCGGCCGGCCAGCCGAGCCGCCCTGCAGCCGAGCAGCCGAGCCGCCGAGCCGCCCAGTAGCCGCGCCGCCGAGCCGCCCACCAGCCGAGCCGCCGAGCCGCCCAGCTGCCGAGCCGCCGAGCCGCCCA